GGATAGACAATGTCGACAACATACCACGGATATACAACAACCAATGCGCGCTTAGACAGTGGCCGATAGCTGTTTTCGGAAACCCGTTCGATGTGGCAGTTTTAAATACGCGCGCTAGTTATTTGGACATTAGGTTTTAAAGTTAGCCAGACGTCGTTCACATTCGATCAGGTGACAGGGTTGTGTGAGCACTATAGAATAATAAACATTTAATTCATTACCTCATATTTTAACCCACCCATCTGAAGGCGAAAAGAAGAAAACGATGTTCAACATCCGAGTGTCAAAATGAAATTAACGTTGTACTGTACCTGCAACTACACCCTACGGACCCTGTGATTCCTGATCATTCAAAAAACTAAGTGCTTCCCAATGTAAACCATGAGATCACATTCGCAGGTTGTAATTAGTTCCATTAAATTCCGTTTTTCTAACACTTTTGTGATTATCGTGTCCCAGCAGAAGTTGAGTAGTGAATTTGAAACCATGCCCCACGATGCATTCACCTAGATCGATGGTGTGATTTCTGCGTATTTTTCTACCCCTACCAATGATTTAAGTACATATCATTGCAAAAAGGTTCCAGTGTTAATTTGAGATTACCTGAACAGACCATGCTTCAAAAACTGTGTCCGATTAATTGTGACACACGAAAAACCATAGATTTGTTAATCCAAGCGGTGTATTGTTTACCTCTGGATGTACTGCTCACCTTCATGTCCTTGTATCAACCTATCGGTGGTACCACACAATCATATAGCGTTTGCAGATTCGATTTATAACTGTTTAAGTGTTTGACCTCGACTGACTGATGAGGAAAACACCTATACGTAGCATAGGTCATATAAGGCTCCTCTTGTTTTTCTAGCAGAAGAAATTTTCTAGTTGTACTAACGTTAAGGATCGAAAAGTATACTGAAAATCTCAAGGAGGCTGCAGAAATATGGATCTTCGATATAAGTTAAACCGTCCTATTACCACAAACACGTTCAATCCTTGCCTTGCACATCACACTCGCATTTCGTGTTAGTTACCGGCTGACTGAATAAAGTTGGAATGTTCCATGCTAAAAACGTATAGTGAGATAGTGAAGCAGAAGGATTTCTTACCTTTTCTTACTTTTGAAATTACTTTCACCTGGTCTCCGATCCTGAACGGGTGCACTTGTTGGAATACTCGCACCTCCGGCTTGATAATCCACGACAGGATGACCTTGGCCACACCACAGTGTAATGTTACAAGCCCATTCATCCAGTTACAAGCCAGCACCAAAAATGGTATCCCGTACTTACCTGAATTGTTCGTCATGAATGCAATTATTCGCTATATGGTATTGAATCATAGTCAGTCTTGAAGATTGTAGAAGGTTCTACGTTTTGCAGTGAATCCTTCGAAATTGGTTCTTACCTGAGTGAACTGATCATTGCGTTTTTGTGCCTGGATAGAATTTCCTGATCGCCACTGTCACAATCCTGTTTTCGTAAAGCTAGCCCCGTTGGTGCCGTTTGTCCATGTCGCCATTCTGGTGTGTCATTGAATGGACTGAACAAACAGTGAGTACACTCGTTATGGTTGTACGAAAATCATCGGGACTTTTTCTTGATCGTCCACTGTGCAACCACTTTAGGGTCTAAGCGTACACTCACCTAGGGTTGACAGAGCAAATTCACTTTTTGTGTTCTCCACCGGCAATAAAAGCAATCGCGAACTCTGGAAGGTATTCGAACAAGTGAATGTTGTCGGCCGCGTCACGCAACAGACGCTTCACGATGTTAAAGGGTTAGACTGGAAATTTAGTTCATTAAGCATTCTTTCATTTCCTGTATTTGAATCGTTCTTCCCAACTGACGATACCTTCCCTACTGAATGCAGACCTGTATATAAAGAAATGTCATTTTAAAGCAGGCACGACAGTAGAGCTAAATGGACTATCGCCAGTTATCCTCACTGGATACGCTGAAATTTTGGATGAACGCTTTGCAGATATACTTACGGAGTACATCTCACAGAAGAATTGTTGACTGTTGGCATACTACAACCAGCACATCGGTACCAAAGCAAAGTACACTCAAGTTTTGAATGAGTACGTGAATATTGGTGGTTTTAAAAGCATTTGGATAGTTCTCTTTGGAAACTTAATGTCTCGACTTAACTAAGGTTATCCACATCAGTTTGTGTACAGTCATCCTCAGTCCATTGTTGACGCACTGTCATGTCTTGTCCACTCAATTTTATAATTCCTACATGGCAAATGCTGGTCAGCCCACTTCTGTTTGTCTAACTGCAGGAAGGATTTCAGTTGTACTAATAGGGTAATCCTGTTTTATCTGTTCAGAATGGATGCCATTCAGTCATCTCTCATAAAAAGTACCGTATGGCGAACAAGCTCGTTTTCAGTGATTCGCTACCAGGCTAAGTTCACCACATTTATAGCACATATTTTACACATTTTGCAATGGTTTCGATTGGGGTTAGACTAGTATGTTTCACTCCCCTCGACTGGGTGGCCTTAGCTCAG